AACAGAAAAGTGGGTGAAGGGAGACCTCGGATAGTGCAAGATATGACAAAATAATAATTTATAAATTATCAAGGGTTCATGAGCGAGGGGGAAGTAGGGAAGGAGGGAAAAAAATGAGGAGCTGATGCCAGGGGCTTAAATGGAAAGCAAATGTTTTGAGAATGATGAGGGCAATGAATGTACAAATGTGCTTTACACAACTGATGTATGTGTGTATGGATTGTGATAAGAGTTGTATAAGCCCCTAATAAAATGGAGGGGGCAGACAAGCGGCAGGAAAACCAGGTAGGGTAGTCCAGATGGGACTTGGTGAGCTCCTTGAATTGACGTTGGAAATGGGGGTGGAAGGAAAGAAGGCAGTATGTGGGAGCTTGTGAGGGATCTCCTAAGACCCTCAGTGGGGAAGACTATTTCTTTATCTTGCAGTTAAGAGGCAAAGTGCTTTCTCAGGCAGCATGAAGAATCACTGGCAGCTTCACTCATCCATCATTGCCAATCCTTAAGTAGGCTTGCATTGGAGAAAAGGGAGCCATCTCTGACCTCCCAGAGCCCTCCACTGGGGGGTGTCTCCAATCCTGTCCTTAGGAATGGCTGGGCTGGACAAAAAGGACAACCTACCGCCAAAATTGGGCCTGAGGAATTTGTTGTATCCTGCTGTGAGGTTGTCAAAGCCAGGGAGAGAAAGCTTGTCACTTCTGCTGACCTCGAGGTGAAACTGGTTCCCATGGACACACATCCTGGAAAAGGGAAGGGGGTTGGGTCCACATGCTGGTCCACACATGCAGAAACAGACACAGAGGAATGTGGGCTTGTGTTTGCATGAGTGTGTGTGTGTGTGTGTGTGTGTGTTTTGGGCCCCTAAGTTTTAATGAGAATGGTGCGGTAATCCAGGACTCCTTCATGAGTCTTCTGGACAAACACAAGGGATTCTTCCACGTGGGGAAGCTTGAATTCTCTACTGAGAATAAACATGTTGTTAGTACAAGAATGAAGGAAATGCTCTAAAACTGATGTGGTGATGATTGTACAACTCTCCTTGATGTGATTGAAAACTACTGAATTGTATGATATGGGAATTATATGCTAATTAAACTGTTAGGGAAAATGTGGTGTTATCATCTGTCACTGAGTTGACCTTTGACTCATGATGACCCCTGCACAATGGGATCAAACAGTTGTGACCCCTAGGGTTTTCAATGGCCAATCTTCTGAAGTAGATGATCAGGGCTTTCTTCCTAAACCATCTTGGTCTGGAAGCTCCCTGAAACCTGTTCAGCATCACAGCCACACACCAGCCTGCACTGAGAGATGAGGTGTGTGTGTGGTGGTGGTGGGGTGCTGTGCATGAAGGGCATTGGTTGGGAATGGAACCTTGGTTTCCTGCACAGCAAGTAATTAGTTCATCCCCAATTCACCACTGCCCTCTAGATAGACTCAATGTCAGGACACTTCTTTGTTCTGTTGCTGGTGGGGAGGAGAGGGAAGGGGTTTTGCCTTGCCATTGTGAGTAGAAAGAGTTCTGACCCCTCCCACTTCCCATCTCCACACAAAGCAATTCAGTGCCAGGCCATTTGGGTCGCAAGATTCACCTTTCAGCGAAGAGACTTAGGCAGAGTGCGATCAGGCACAGGCTGTAACTCATGTTGAGGATCTGCTCACACAGCTCAGGCTCAGAGTGAGAATCACCTGGGGAGACAGAGAGGGCACAGTGGAGATAGAACAGCCTAAAAGTTCACTCATGTCCAAGCCAGCTTCTCTGTGACCCCC